ATCTTTCCATAAGTGCAAGTTTCATGTGACTATGTTTAGTCACAATGCAGCGAAAGAAGCGTAGCAGACGGGTTGCGCAGCATTCCCACCAGGACCCATTTGATTCACGTGGCAGTGCTGCGTTGTGTAACTAACCTCCGCGCAATGCTGCGATTCAAACTGATGGTGTAGACTAGAGCTGGATCTGGCAGTAATAACACGCAGCACTGCTTAGCAGGACTTCCTTTCGTCTCGGGAGTAAGCTAAATAAAAGATATCTCGCGGTCTGTAAACCGGTAACCTAACCCGTTGCAGGACCCCCCCCCCTCAGGCTTGCGCAGCGCGCGACAGCTACCAAAAGATGGAACCTGTGTGGTGAAACGTACATCACATGATCACTGCCAGAGGCCTTTAACGTGGCAACTAAAAGTATCCTAGACCTCGAGAACCGAACTAAGCGCGCAAAATACGGTAGCAATGATTCCTTGAACTGCGAAATCCTTCTGCGTGAGCGAAACGAACCAACAGTCGATTACATACATTCTGCTTACAATATTTTATTGTAACACACAAATATGGATTTTATCGATATCGGAGAAGTCTTTGCGTATGAAAACTGAAACTAAAAAGAAGAAAATCATGGTGACGACTGCTTGTCAGCTAGCAGACCTTAGAAGATCACGCGAAAAGCACCTCCAGACAGGTTGCGTTACCTCCTGGCACATGACCCGTTCGTAATTGATTAATGAAAAATTTTAGCACTAAGATGCAGTAATTCACTCAGTACTTTCAAAAGATAAGGGCAGGACTGGAGGAAGGATTCGAACAGGACAAAAATACAAGCGCAATGACAGCCGCCACACGTTCAAGTGAAGTGCATATGAAGCCAAGCCCTGCTCATCTCCGGGATAAGGATTCCAATGAGACGAAGTAGAGTGCTAGTTAAGACTGTAATCCGCTCGATCTCATAGGAAATTCTAGGGGGGATATTACCTAATTCTGATGCTTTGTGGCTATAGACGTACTCGTTCGCTGCCTCAGTCCACTTAGCAGTACTCATAAAGTTATTAAAAGCGAACCACTGTTGACAGGAGTAGCACAGAAATAATCCTATTCTTTCTAGAGCAACTGTCATTGTTTTGAATTGACAAGGAACTCGAGATTTCACAGGGCATCCTCAGGTGTCCATTCAGCTCACATTTCAGGTTTTGAAAAGCATTACACACATTCTTTAAGTAATATCATATGACATAGTATCATATGAATCATGTGTAATACAATACTTTTCAGTGTTCCTTTTCAGTGTTCTAGTAGTACATAATACATTATTCACATACTTCAAGGTTATTTTACGCCTTCAAGACACCTGCAGTTTTTCGCTGCAGATCATAACCCGTTCTCCCTTTTTGGCGATCAACAGCATTGTCTCATATCGTTCGTATCAGCCATTTTTCGCTAATTGTTGTCGTTTACTCTCTTCGACCATCGGTGGAGAACGGGCTGACGGCGCGCCAAATCTTACCTCTATGACACGCCCCTTCACCCGCAGCGAGCGAGACTCTAACAATGAGC